TGGCTCTATAAAAAAAAAAAAAAAACCAAAAAAAAAAAAAAAAGCATTCCCTGGGCAGTGCCAGCCCCAAGTCCTGTATTTCAACCAAATGTGGACAGTTTTAAGCCTGTCCCTCCTCTAGCCCACTGCCCACGTCTCAGGGCCTTGCCTGGGTACTAGATCCCAAGCCTGACCAGAGTGGAATAGAAGGGCCAAGGTCCGCAGCTCGCTCTTGTCTTCCCGGCCCCGGCCTGGCATAGGGGGTCCTTATAAGTATTTGAGAACTTCGTGTCTTCAGACTCTCGCGCCCAGAATCTTGATTCTGCCTCCTCGCTGGCCCTTCTTCCAGGCTCACCCTCTTCGGATCGTCCTCCATGCTGTGGCCGCGGTCAGTCGGTCAACAAAGCTCTGAGTTTTTCGCTGTATGTCAGATATGGTCTAGATAGTTGGGGTTATTATGGGAGGAATTTTCTCCCCCTCCCCAAAAAGAAAACGTTCCTGTCCTGACTGCAGGACCTCAGAATATGATCGATCTCTTTGGGGACAGGGTCTTTACTAGGGCGATGAAATTAATGTGAGGCTGAAGTCATTTTGGGAGGCGCTGGGTCGGAGAGCAGGGTCCTTGGGCTCGCTCTCAGCCAAGTATCACCAGAGCTCCCCCGTCAAGCGGCAGCGCGAGGTCCCCAGGGCACAGAGATGTCAGTTATCCCAAAGGCAGGTTTATTATGAAAAGGAAGGGAAGAAAAGGACACTTGCCCAGACACAAGCGGGCAGGAAGAGCTACCCCCGAAAGGGACAGGTTTACTGAGAGAAAGGCCTACAAGGTTGCAGGCGGGCAGCCTGGGAGGAAGCTACCTCTGCTGAGGGAGGTCAGTGAAGAGAAGCCTGGCAAGGTCACAGGTCAGAGGCAGGAGGGCTGCTGCCCTGCAGAGGGAAACGGTTGACAAAAAGAAGCGCCTGCTGGGCCTCCCTGGTGGCCTAGGGGTTGAGTCTCAGCACTGTCACCGCTTTCACCACTACAGCCTGAGTTCGAGCCTGGCCCCAGGACTACCCATATGGCACAGCAGACCTCTCCTGTCTCACCCACTGCTCCCCTCAGCAGTGTGTTTCAGTCAGTCTGCCTGTTCTGTTCCCCACTCTGTCTCTGGTGAATCCTCTCACCACCACCACACCCCCGCACCTCTGGCCTGCACCCCAGCTCTTGTATGCATAAATAAATCTTTAAAAAATAATAATAAATCAATAAAGCACCCAGTCTGTGGCGTTTTGTTACAGCAGCTCTAGGAAACCAACAAGAAGACCAAGTCCTGTCCTCACAGAGCCGAGGTTCCGGGTGAGAGACAGACTGGGAACAGGAGGCCTCCAGGTAGGTGCCGGGGGCACATGGCCTCTCTGTGCAGGTAACATTCCCCCAGACCTCAGCAAGGGGGAGCAGCCCAGGGCAGGAGGGCCTTGAGGGGTGCAGAGAGCTCCTGGAGGCGAGGCTGCATCAGAGGCCCACGGTGAGAGCAGAAGAGGCAGCCTTGCTGGAGGGCAGCAGCACGGGGAGGAGGGTGGCGCTTGAAAGCAAGAGGCAGTCAGGGACCAGCCATAGAAGGCCCTGACACACGGAGATGTGCTTGAAGGAGCGGGGGGAAGGGGGTGCAGGGACGGGAGTTGTGGGCAAAGGCTGACAGCCACAGAGCTGGCAGGCATGAGCTCAGGTCCCAAACCGGCAACCACAAGAGAGGTGTGGGGAACGAATAACAGCACTTGTGGTTGCCTCACATTCTGGGTGAGAAGAAAGGGGCGAGGAGACAAAGTAGGGTGGAGGGACAGGGAGCAGTGGAAAAGTACCCCAAAGTCTATAAAAAAGAACCCAGCATGGGGGCCTCCCTGGTGGCACAAGGGTTAAGTCTCAGCACTATGAAGCTATCTGCAGCCACTGCAGCTCGAGTTGCATCCCCAGCCAGGGAGCTACCCACATGGCGCAGCAGACCTCTCCTGTCTCACAGCTGCTCCCCTCAGCAGTGTGTTTTGGTCATTCTGCCTGTTCTGTTCCCCACTCTGTCTCTGGTGAATCCTCTCACCCTCCCCCTCACACCGCTGGCCTACACCCCAGCTCTTGTAAAATCAAATAAATCTTAAAAAAATAGAGGTGATGAAGGTTAAATGAAATCAAAAAGGTAGGGATCTGACCTAGTATTACTGGTGTCCTTATGAAAATGAGGAAGAGCCCCAGCAGCTCTGTGAGGACACACTGACAAAGCAGCTGGCTGTCCACCAGCCACAAAGACCTCACCAGAAACCAGCCCTGCAGGCACCTTGATTCTGGACTTCTTGCCTCCAGACCTGGGAGAAAATGATTTTCTGATGTGTAGCCCCCCAAACTGTGCTATCCTTTTTTGTTTTTAAAGATTTTTATTCATTTATGCGTACAAGAACTGGGGTATAGGCCAGAGGTGTGGGGGGTGAGAGGATTCACCAGAGAGAGAGTGGGGAGCAGAACAGATGGACCCACGGAAAAACACTGCTGAGGGGAGCAGCTGTGAGACAGGAGAGGTCTGCTGCACCATGTGGGTATCTCCCTGGCGGAGATAGAACTCAGGCACAGTAGCTGGCAGTAGCTTGATAGCCCTAGGACTTTAACCTCTGCACCACCAGAGAGGCCCCCAAACTGCTATTCTGTCGAAGTAGCCTAAGCAGACTGAAATACAGAGGCCAACTTCTGCACTGCCCGGTGCTCTGGTTAAAGGTGCAGACGCAGACACCCAAGCCCCTGAAGCAGAATCTCTGGGGCACGGAGTCCAAGAATCCATGTTTTGAATAGACTCCCACACCCACAGAAGTGTCCCCTCTATAAGCTCCCGAGGGCAGGGAGGGCCAACTGCCCTCACCTGCTGAGCACCAGCTCTTCTGGTCACCAGCCTCCCCAACTGCACATGTCGTCTGGCCTGCCAGTTAACTGGCAAGCTCGCTCTGCCGACTCACCCTGCTTCCCCACACTCTGCCTGAGCCCCCAGGAGCCAAGCCAGGACAGTGCAGGCTATGGTCTCAAAACCCAAGGATAAGTCAGGTCAAGCCCTGCCACAGAGGCCCTTCTGGTCTATGGAGCAAGGTCCACAGAGCTGTGGACATCCCTGGGTCTGGGCGGATGTGCCCAGAACTGCAGGAAGGCAGATCGAGGAGTGAGCAGCCTCCATTTGCCATGTTTCTGCCCCGCTGCCGTGGACGCAAAGCCAGGGTAAGGCTCCGTCTTACACACCCACGCTGCCCCCTTGGGTACAATGGGCCTCAGCGATAGGCAGTTTCGTGGCCCTCTGGCCACTTGCAGCTTTACTAGGAACAGCCCCCCTAGTTGCTGAGAACAAAGCTGAGAACACAAAACCCAACATATGGAACAAATCCCACTTCTGAGTCCAGGGCCCTGTGCCCTGAGCCTGTTTCCACCCATAGCCTGTGTGGTGCGTGTTCAGATAATCACATCTGGAAAAGAAATGCAAGAGGACATTTCCCACACAGCTTTGTTTCTTTTTTTTTTTTTTAATATCTTTTTTTTTTCTTTCTAAAGATTATTTATTTATACAAGAACCGGGGCACAGGCCAGATGCACGGGAGGGTGAGAGGATTCACCAGAGACAGAGCAAACTGATGAAATACACTGCTGAGGGGAGCAGCGGGCGAGACAGAAGAGTTCTGCCTCGCCATGTGGGTTGCTCCTTGGCCGGCCAGGGATCCAACTTGTGCTGCAGAGGCTGTGGATTGCTTCACAATGCAGTGCTTAACTCCTTGTGCCACCGGGAGGCCCTAGTGGTTTGTTTCTAGACTTCAGTGAGGTAACCTCTATAAAGCCCCCACCCCAGCCTGCTGCTTAGCTGGCCTTCAACAAAGATAGCTCACAGGTCAGTCCTCACAAAACAGGGATGTACTTTACTTGCAGGCATTACCAGAAAAGACTAGTAAGAATGAAGTAGAACAGTCAACCTCTCAGCAATGACCCATCTGCATCCTGTCTGAACACCCAACATCTACTCAGCACCCACCCCCTGGGAAGAAGGCCTGAGCTGGCTGGAGCTGTGCAGAAAGGCTGATGTCAGCTCTGGGAGGGCAGACACTTCTGTCCACCTAGGACAGACTGTGCTCAGTAATTATATTTTGAATGAATGCAATGGATCAATCAATAAATTAATCGATAAGTAAATGGCTGACTGGAAGGTACTATCCAGGGAAACGCTGACTCATTTTGAAGATTTTTTTTAAGAATTTGATTTTTAAAAAAGATTTATTTATTTATGCATACAAGAACTGGGGTACAGGCCAGAGGTGCAGGGGGTGGGGGTGAGAGGATTCACCAGAGACAGAGTGGGGAGCAGAACAGGCAGACTGACGAAATACACTGCTGAGGGGGGCAGCAGGCGAGTCAGGAGAGGTCTGCCACGCCATGTGGGTATCTCCCTGGCCAGCCGGGAATCGAACCCGCGCTGCAGAGGCTGCGGACAACTTCGCTGCGCTCAACCCGCTGCGCCACGGCCACCGGGGAGGCCCCTCATTTTTAAGACCTTGAGCGGGCCTCTTGGGAGCTCTCTGGGCTGCTGGTCCCCGTTGGGAAGCCAGAGGTCTTGCCAGGCGGGGTGACCCGCCCGAGGGGTCGTGGTAGTCACAGCAACGGGCACCTCCGGGCAGGCGCCGTCGTCAAGAGCCGGGGGAGGAAACCATTTTATCTCCACTTTACGGAAGAGGAAACTGAGGCGCAGAGGGACGAGGGAGCATCCTGGAGAAGGGATTTGATCACGTTTTGGAGGAAACACTGGGCCGAGCCCAGGAACTGAGGCGAAGGGGCGGGGCGTCCCGGGGCGGGGCGGGGGGCCCGGCTGGCGTCACCCCGCAGCGGCCTCGGCGGTCGCCGGCGGGACCAACTCCGCCCCTGGCGTCTCCATGACAACAGCCTCCGCGCATGCGCCTCGCGCTGGCGGCGGGGCTGGCGGAAGCCGACCCCGCGGGGCGGGCTTTTAAAGGGGCGCCCTCCGCCGCGGCGGCTCCCGGCGGCGGGCGCAGATGGAAGGACCCCGGCGGCCGCGGGAGTCGGGATCGAGGAGGTAGAGAAGACGCGGGCTGTGTGACCACCCTCCCCCTGGGTGGCCAGGGGCAGTAAATGCCCCCGGGAGGGCGTCCCCAGTGGGCGAGGCAGGGGAGAAGGGACGGTGGGTGACAGAAGTTCACCCCGTGGGTGACAGGAGGGTACAGGATTGTAGCCCCCAGGACAGTGCGGGGAGCTTGCACTCTGAAAATAAGAGCTGGGATAGTAAGAAGGTTTGGGCTCCACGACTCCCTCATGCCCCAAGAAGGACCTGGGGCTCCAGAGGGCTGGGAAGAGGGGGTGCGGGGTCAGCTTGGGACAGGTGCCTTTACCTTCCCTGCTTTCAGCCTCCCGCCGTCTCCGTGGCCCGCGGCGGCGCCCAGCCATGCCCAGACCGCCCGCCCCAGGCTCAGTGATTGTCCCGGACTGGCACGAGAGTGCGCACGGCAAGGAGTACCTGGCCTGCGTCCTGCGCAAGAGCCGCCGGCGGGTGTTTGGTGAGGCCCCTGCAAGCCTGTCGCGTCACTCCCTGGGGAGAAACATGTCACCTGTCGCTCCCCTGGGGGAGCAGAAGGAGAGGGGCAGAGTGTTCACTGCATTCCTCAGCCGTGGGGACCCCTGAAAACTCTATCCCCAGGGCCCCCTCCCTCCGAATTCCATCATCAGAGCCAGGAGCATGGAAACAGCGACACCCAGCCAGGAGCCACTGTCACCGGAGATGCTGTTGATTGAGCCCTGCCCCATGCTAGGCCCTCTGCTGGGTACCTTACACACCTGGTCCCATTTAACCTCACCAGCCCATCTTCCGGGCTGGTCCAGGGTCCACCCTAGTAAGTAAGGGCAGCCTTTTGCATATCCTGCTGTATCCAGGATCAGATACAGCATGTGTCCCCCCAGGATGAAGCCAACTCACCCTGGCAGGCTGGGCTGGCAGGTCAGCAACCTGGCTGAGTATCAGTTGCAGGAGTCAGGCTGCAGCCAGGAGAGACAAGTGGGCAGAAGACTTGGGCCCAGCGAGGGAGAGGCGGCCCACAACTAAGGACTCTGGGGTTCTAGGCCTATAGAGATGTCATGGTCGAGACTGTTCTTTTGCACATTTTAAATTAAAAATATTCACAAAGATCTTGACATATTGGGCCTCCCCTGGTGGCGCAGCAGTTGAGCGCTGGGCTGTGAGGCTGCCCACAGCCTCTGCAGCACCAGTTCGTTCCCCGGCTGCTGGCGAGGGTCCCACAAAAAAAAAAAAAAAAAAAAAGATCCTGACATATTAATTGATTCCAAGGGGTTTATTATAAGAATTGAGAATACTTCTGCTGATACGTCTCCATTAAGGAAAGAATTATGAGAAACCTTACTTTTACATGTGGGAAACCTAGAACATGTGAGAATAGTACCAATAAAAATCATACATGTAGCAATTAAAAAAAAATTCAGGGAGGAAGGACAGGTCACCTTCTGGCCCACAGGGATGCCCCTTAGAACCTCAGGACCTGAATGTCTTTATTCTGCTGCCTTCTCCCTCCGGAAGCCACCATCTGTGCCCCAGACAGGGGAGAGGAGCCCCTGAGAGTGTGGTTACAAGTCCAAGGCAGAAGCAAATAACATGTGGTGTCCTTTGAAAAGAATGATGATAATAATAATTCAGTGGTATTTGGAGCAGGCCTCAACCCAGCTCCCCGAGCACCAGTGTTCTCAGCAGAGCTTCGCATCAGGGGATCCTGTCTCTGTCATGGAGATCAAGAAGCATGGGCGGGTAACACTGAAGCCCTTAGAGATGAGGTTGTCCATCTAGGTCTGACAGGGCAATCTCAGGTTGACCCCCCACCTCACCTGGCTCCCTCCTTATCCTAGGACTGCTTGAGAGACCAGTACTGTCCCCATCAGTGGCCATCGACACAGCCAGCTATAAAATCTTCGTGTCCGGGAAGAGTGGCGTGGGCAAGACAGCGCTGGTGGCCAAGCTGGCTGGCCTCGAGGTACCCCTGATGCACCATGAGACCACTGGTGAGTGGGGCCCCAACCCTTTGCCCACCCTCGAAGGCCTTCACTGGGGTGGAGAACAGGATCTGGCCCTGGAAACTGCCCCACCATTTTTTTTCTTTTTTAAATTTGTTTACTTATTTATTTTTGCACAGGAGAACTGGGGTGTAGGCCAGAGGTTTTGGGAGGTGAGAGAATTCACCAGAGATGAGTAGGGAGCAGAACAGGCTGATCTACTGAAATATACTGCCGGCAGGGGGGGGGGGGCGAGACAGGCGAGGTCTGCTGTGCCATGTGGGTCCCTGGCTGGGGCTCGAACTCAGGCGCTAGTGCTGAGACTTAACCCCTAGGCCACCAGGGAGGCCCCAGCCCCCTTCACTCTGCCCCCTTGGCAAGTCAGCTCACCTCTGAGCCTACAGTGGCTCCTCTGTCCAATCCCTCAGGGTTGTTGTGGGGTAGGTACTAGAGATAGTGCTGGCAACATGCCTGGCATTGAGCTGGCACAGGTAGGTGCTCAGGAAACACTGATCATCCTTCTCCTTTCCTTCTACTGGATGCTGACTGACCCATCATATGCAGCCCCTCCAGGATCCCAGGGCCTTCAGTACCCTCTGTACATACAAGTTATACTGCTGAGTCATGGTCAGGGCCAGGCTAGGTGGGGGGCTCTTCCAGGCAGGTGCGTTCTCCCCCCTGCCCAGAATTCTCCCAGGTCAGGGACTGTGCCTTCCCTGCCAGACTGGGGACGCCCCAAGGCAGGAGCATGTCTCTCCATCCTGTTCCTTCCTGGCCCCCCTCCCTCTCACCTCTTCCTTGCCCCTGCTGAGTGGCCAGTCCTGCTCTCCAGGCATCCAGACCACCGTGGTGTTTTGGCCTGCCAAGCTGCAGACCAGCAACCGCGTCATCATGTTCCGCTTTGAGTTCTGGGACTGCGGGGAGTCGGCACTCAAGAAGTTTGACCACATGCTGCCGGTGAGCGGGCAGGTGGATCCGGGTGGGTCCAGGAAGGGCTGGTTATCTGAGGTGGGCTTCTGAGCACCCCAGCCTGCCTGTTCTGCTGGGGCCAGAATTCACCAAGGATGCTGCCCGGTGGGAGGGCTCTGAGCTGGCATTGGGGGCTGAGGCCCAGCCTAGGCTCAGCCCTGGGGCCAGCCACATCCTGCTCTGGGCCTAGTTTCCCACTTTGTAAAAGAAGGGATGGTGCTGAGATTCCTCAGGGCCCAGCGCTGATAAGAAGGTTCTGGTCCCGTGGTCAGAAGCGCTCATCCGTGTCCTCCTCCCCAGGCTTGCAAGGAGAAAACAGATGCTTTCCTCTTCCTCTTTTCCTTCACCGACCGTGCCTCCTTCGAAGACCTCCCTGGACAGCTGGCCCGTGTAGCGGGCGAGGTCCCTGGTGTTGTCAGGATGGTGGTCGGCTCCAAGTATCCTTTGGGTGGCCCCTCAGGCTGTCAGAGGCTAGCCTTGGAAAGGTGCCAAGCAAGAAGGTCAAGGGCCCCACCTCTGCCCCACCTTGGGTTCCAGCCCCAAGGGATTTATCTTAAAGGCTGCAGCAGGGCCTCCCCTAGACCCTGGGCATGGGGCTCCAGGAGGAAGAAGGCTGGGTTTCACAGGTGCCTGGCCAGGCTCCTTGACCGTCCCTCAGATTTGACCAGTACATGCACACAGATGTGCCTGAGCGTGACCTCACCGCCTTCCGCAAGGCCTGGGAACTGCCTCTCCTGCGAGTGAAGAGTGTGCCAGGGCGGCGGCTGGCAGATGGGCGCACCCTGGATGGGCGGGCCGGGCTGTCCGACATTGCCCATGTGCTCAACAGCCTCGCGGAGCAGCTGTGGTACCAGGACCAGGTGGCAGCTGGCCTGCTCCCCAGCTCCCCAGAGGACCCCTCAGCGGAGGCATAGTGATCCTCAGATGACCCAGGCCAGAGGGCGGGACCCAGGGCCTAAGGCTGGGGCAGGAATGTTGAGTTCTTCCTGAGGGTTGGCCTGAGGGCCTGGCCAGGGTGGCAGCCCAAGAGGGCCCTACCCCAGCAGCACTTCCCTGGCAAAAAGCAAGGCAGTGAGGCGGCAGGGGGAGGGGTAGGCGCTCTAGGGCAGAGGTCTGAGGGCATCCAGGTGCCCTCTGGCCTTCTCCCTCTGCCCTGGGGGTCTGGGCTCCTGGACATGAGCAATTGTTTGGGCGGCCGCAAGGCTCAAGTTTCTCCCCCCTGCCCCTTGCTCCCCTTCTCGCTTCTGCAGACCCAGCAGGTGCCTGTCTGGGCCCTGGACCTCAGGCAGTGTCATCAAGAGCCTGTATTAGTTGATGATAACATCTGTCGTATCAGATAAACTCTGCGCTTGGTGACTTAACACTGAAGTTTTTTCTTGCTTTGTCTCCACCTCAGGTGAAGGTGGGCTTGGGGGTGCTGCTCTACGCACTCATTCAGGCACGTGGGCTCTGAGAGCTGCAGCACCTGGCTTTCCATTGTGTCCTGGGCATCAGCATCCCATCAGCACGCAGGAAGGTGTCACATCAAGGTGGCCCAGGGGGTTTCTGTGCACCTGGCCTAGGACCCTGGGCCTTATGTTGGCCTGCATGCCATTGGCCAGTCCCGTGGTCATGTGGGGCTGCAGTGGAGGCTGGGAAATGTAGTCCACTGGTGTGTCTAAGCAGTGGCCCCTCACTCTGCCGTACCTTTCTTGATCATGAGGCTGTCAAGCTAGGCTTAGAATGGGCCCTGCCAGCCTGGGGAGTCGGAAAGCTGCCCTGAACAAAGCCAGGAACTGGACCAAGTGGGCATCAGGGTGTGTATTGGCTTGATGGTAGCTCTGGCCTGAAGCAGTCCAGCAGGGACAGGAGCAGAAAGGTAAGTGACCTCGCCTATCAGTTCCTGTGTCTCACCTCTGCCCCTTCAGCCAGAGACACTGGTGGATGCAGGCCACGGTGGCAGGGGTGTTGATAAGGGGGTTTACACGTTCTCTCCCTGATGACACCCCATAGATGAACTCTTGGGTTGAGGCCTGGCCTGAGTCTGACCCAAGTGGAAGGGCTCTGGAGGCCCAGGGGTAGTGGCTCCCAAAGTCCTGAGAGGCCCCCCTAGAACAGGCAGCACCAGCAGCCCTGCATGCCCCACACTCCATGATCTTGTGCTCACATCAGCGCTGCCCTGTAATGTCCCTGTGCCTCCCGCTGGGACACCCCCGCCCACCCTCCTGCACACACGTCATGCCAACCTGTCTGCCCTGTGCTCTGGCCATAGGTTTGTCACCCTTCCAGGGCTTCAGGGACCTCTTCCAGCACCTTCATATCCTCAACTGTGGTTTGGAGCTAGGACTTGAGCTTATCCCAAACCCCAGAAAAGAATGTCCCTGGGCAGGACCCCAAGCCTCAGGCCCAAGCAGGCCGCAGGCTCTTCCCACTCCTGGGCCCTAGGCCTTTCAGCTGCAGTTTCTGCTCCAGCTCTGCTTCCAGGCAGCTGGCGGTCAGCCCGTTGCCTCTGTTCTTAGCTCCAGGAAACCTAACCCTGCCTGGGCAGAGCAAAGTGTGAGGGCGGGACCTGAGGAAGGTATCCCTGGGCCTGACTGTGACCTATCAGCTACCCCACATCCTAGCCAGTTATCTATGGCTTCCCACTCCCTCAGAAAGGGAGCTTCCACCTCTGCCAAGAGCCACAAGGTTGTTCTGGAAAAATAACCCACATCCCTTCACCACGGGGCAAGCCAGGTTTTTTCTCTCAGCTCTACTCCAGGCAGAATCCAGCCCTCACCACCTTCACTCCAAACTGAGATGTGAACAAAGCCCTTCACTGTTCCCCCCAGCTCTCCCCAGGACATTGTGGGGGGGCCACAGGGCTAGAGCTTGGACCTCCCCCCAGGACCTCCAGTCCAGGGCTCCTTTCTCAGCCCCTCCAGCCCCTTTCCTATTTAGTAGGCTCCCCCGTCAGGGGCCTGCACAGACATACAGAATTGGGAGCCCAGGAGGAGGGAGTTCAGAGCCATAATTCTAATAGCTGGTGGCTGTGCCTGCAGGGGGTCATGGGGCAGGGTTCGGCAGAGTGCTGAGAAGCGAGCATGCGTACATGCGTCCAGATTCAGTGGCTAGCCTGCCACCTGAGCAGCCCACCTGGCCTGGAACTCAGAGGGGCCCACACCTGACTGCAGTTGTCATCTTGAAATTCTTGTGCATTCTGGAATAATTTTGCACTGGACATCGCTGATGCATAGCAGGCCTGGCATGTCCTGGGAGAAGATCTGAGCTCCAGATAAAGCTCCTTTTCTCAGGGCCACTCCTATGGAATACCAAAAGACCACCAGGAAGTTGCCTTCTGATTTTGCCTTCAATTTCTGGAAGGTGCTAGAAATTTCTCAATTGGGTAAAGCCTCGCAACAGTTCAACGACAAATAGCTCTCCACTCACCCACCCCTCTGTGGGCCAGAAACTTTGAGAAGGGAAGGTGACTATGTCCCCAGGGTGTTTCCAGGGTGGGTCCTAATTTGGAGGGGATCTTTGGAGAAAAGGTAGCTGGCCATGCTCTCTCCTCAGAGCCCTGGAGCTTATAAACGTTGGGGCCCTGAAATGAAGCTGGTGGGAGGAGGGACTGTATTCTGAGTGGTGTTTGTCCATCCCAGAGTTGGCATTTCCAAGCCCTCTCCCCAAGCTGGGCTCAGGGAGCCCCAAGCTCTTTCCCTGTGGATGAGGAGTGCTATGGACTGAATGTTTGTGCCCCCCACCACACCCCTTCAGTGTGCATAGGTTGAAACCCTAACTCCCGCGGGGATGGTATTAGGGGTCATTGGGACTGATTAGGTTATGAGGCCAGGGCATCATGAATGGAATTAGTGCTCTATAAAAGGCCCCCACAGAGCTCCCGGGCCCCTTTCACCACATGAGGGCACGGGGAGAAAGCCCCAGCTGTAAGCCAGAAACAGTTCTCGTCAGGACGCAACTGTGCGGGCACCATGATGTTGAAGTCTGCGGCCTCTGGATGGTGAGGAATAAATGTCTGTTTACAAGCCACCTGCTCTGTTGTATTTTGTTATAGCTGCGAAATAGACTTAGATAAAAGGCTGAGGCCCCAAGAGGGTCAGTTTGCCAGAGTTTGCAGAGTCCTGAAACAACCCGGATGCACTGACCCCTCTGCATCCCCTCCCCCAACCCCCTAATGCTGTTTTCTGGATCCATCCCCTCACAAGCCCCCACCTGTCTTCCCTGCTTTTCCAGCTGAAAGCCTGGGGGCTGCCTGTAGGAGGGGGAATACGGTGCTAGCTCCCTCCTCCCTCCTTTTTCTCTACCGGTCCCCCTTCCCAGGCTAGCTGAGCCGGTAAGTGAAGCTCCTGCCTGCTTGCTGCCCTTGTGAGCAACAGGGGGGACCCCAGGCAAGGTCCTGCCCCAGGATGAAGAAGGGGACACAGAAGCTGGACCTACAGAGGCTGCTGGACAGGCCTCCAGGGACTTGGGTGAGTTCAGGCTTCCTGGTCACGCCCGGGATCCACTTACTCCCTGGGCAACCTGGTGCCAGCTGTCAACCCCACATGCCAGGCAAGAATTGAGGGGAAGGGGTGCCCAGGTGCAGACAGGTGGGGCTCAGGGCCTAGGACAAGTTGGAGTTGTGTGGAGGCAACTCCCCAGAGGACCAAGCTGGGCATAGCAGGGCATACGTGCTCGCCCGGGGCAGGACAGTGGTGGGGGTGTGGGGAGCCGGTGTTCAGCTCTATTCTGGAAAGAAGGGATTGATCCTGGGAGCAACGAGCATGGACTGAGGCTGAGGGCTGGGAGAGGTGTCCAGAAGGACGGTGGGGGAAGGGAGAACCATGCACTGTGCGCTCATTCCTATGTGTTCACCTGTGAAGGGGAGTTCAAGGCAGCACCCACTTCTTTGAGTTGGGGGAAGGACGTGTAAGATGGCAGCACGTGCGGGCACGGGTGAGGAGCCTGATGACCTGCTGTGCGGCGTCTTGTTCTGGTACTGGCGGCGGCTGTTAGGGTCGTGGAGGTGGTTCTCGGCGCAGGGCAGGTGCAGAGGAGAGAGAAGGGTCGCCGCTGACAGCGCCTCCCCCCGGCGCTTTATATTTAGCCAGGGGCGGGCGGGCCCGTGGGCCGAGGGAGGGACCGGCGGGGCTGCGCTCAGGACAGCGATGGCCACGTGGACGAGAACCCAGACGACGCCCGTCTCCGCTCGTCTCGCGGCAGCACCGATGCCCCCGGCTCCAGGGGCCACTTCTCCGCGATGGGAAAACCAAAATTGGTGAGATTTGGGCCCGCAGGACTCACCCCGCATCTCACCCGGGCGGCCTGAGCCGCTCCCCACAGTGTCCCCTTAAAGCCCCCTGTGCTCCGCGAGGAACCGCGTCCATTTCTTGCAAACGGCAGCCCCTCCTTCTGTTATAGGGCAGCCCCGATACTGAACGGGTTCCTGGCTGTGGGTCCTCACCCGCGCGCTTACCAGGGACTTATGAAAACTCTACTACAGACACACACAAAAGGTTCATAAAAGGTTTATTGACAAGGGAAAAGGAAATAAGGAAAATGTACAACTCAGGGAGAAAATAGGGAAATACTTTAATGCGTCCTACCCGATCCGCCGACCTGGAAACCCAAGTCACTCTCCGAGCTGGCCGGACGCTGCGAGCTGGCGGAGAGCCAAAATGGGGGAACCCCCCCCCCACCAAAGCCCACGTGTCTGGCTTTATACCAACCTAGCTGCTTAACCCCACCCTCAGGTCCCAGCCACCCTCCCTTGGGTGGGGATGGGATTTGGAGTTCCCAGTGTCTTTGGCTTTGGCCTGGGGTGGGGGTGGAGCCCACAAAGCCTGTATGGAATCAGCTTTGGGACATCCTGTTCCCCCTAACACTTGGAGCTGGCCCCACTCCCTCTCGACGCGGCGCACGCGGCTGCACCCCATTTTGCCCTCAGCGGGGCGGACAAGCCAGCTCCCCGCAACCAAGCCGCGACCGAAGCGGGCCAGGCGGGCAGGCGGCTCCTAACTGCGCCTCCGCGGGCGGGACGGGCTTCGTGCTCGCGCGGGAGGAGCTGCGGCCCCGCGGCGGCCCCAGCGGCAGGACTCCTGCTGCGGCGCAGGCGAGGGAAGCTCCAGCGGCACCTGCGCGCGGCCCGGCTGCTCCTGGCGGAGGGGGCGCGGCGGGGCGCGGCGGGGCGCGCTGCCTGGCTCCGGCCGGGGCCCGCGGGGGTCCCTGAGCCAGCTCGGGGAGCTGCGCGCGCGACCTCAGCACCTCGCCTGTAAATGGGCTGTGAAGTGCATCGTCGCTGACGATGCAGTTGTGCAAAGCGCCCCGCAGGCTCTGCACATGGGCGGCGCCGCGTAAGTGGGAACCAGCGGCCGCTCTTGCATGACTGCGGGGACCTAGCGACTCTCCCCACATTTATAAAATGGGGGTGCTAGTTCCCGCCTCGCTTGAACGAGGAAACGCGTGCCAAAGCTCTTTTGAGGGCGGCAAGGACCTGTCACACACACACACCCCCGCCCCTCGGTGCCTGCCGGCCGCGGCCGACCAGGATCGCGGGGGGGGCCCACGGGGCTCTGGCCCCCTGAGAAGCCTCCACCCCGCAGGAGCGCAGCCCGCCGAGCGCGGCGTCGTGCACCTCACCAGGCTGGGCGCACCCTGGGAGCTGCTGGTGCTCCGCGCCAGGGACCTGAGCCTGCGGGCGCCGCGGCAGGCGGGAGGGGTGGGCGGCGGGCGGGGTCGGCCGGGGAGGCGGATTCTTCCAGGGGCCGGTGACCCCGCCCTTGTCCCCCAACCGGACCTGAACGGGTCGGCAGCGCTGCTGCGGCGCCTGCGCCTGCGCCACCCTCTGCAGCAGCACGTGCCCGACAAGCCGCGGGACTTCTGCACGCGCCCCTGCCGCGCGCCAAGCTGCACAGGTGGGGCGGGGCGGGGCCTCCCAGTGGGCGGGGCCTCCAGGTGGGCGGGGCCGCCTGCGCGGGCTGAGCCAGATCGAAGTTCGCCGTTCCTCTTTGGTTTGCCTGGAGGCAACACCGGCCTAGCTCGCTGCAGGCTGCTGGCCTGTCTTCCCGTGTGCCAGCGACTCCCATCCCTGATTCCCACCCTACAGTCTCCCTCAAGACGCTCGCCTGACTGGAAGACACCCAGCCAGGTGAGCTCTGTGGGTAGGTAGGTTCTCAAGCTTTGGCGGCTGCAGGCCTCCCGCCCTCGGTCCCCGGCTGGAAACTGCGTTCCCGTTGTGTTAGTCTCAGGCTGGGCAGAGGGGTTGGCTCCTGAGCGCTGTTCTGCTCACAGATTCCTGGGCAGTGACTCCCACGACTCCTACTTTTCCAACACGCAAAGGCACCGAGTGGTGAGCCAAAGTCCTGGGAAGGGTGCATTCAGCTGGCACCCTCGGGGCGAAGCTGACGCCAGGATTCTCCCTGGCAGGTGGCAGAGATCCTGGCCCGCACAGTCTCTGGGAAGCAGAAACGGGCAGAGATGGGCATTGCCTGACTGCTGGCCGGGGCGTCTACACAGCATTCCCACTGCATGAGGTAGAGATGACCCAAACTCAACCTTCCCCACTGCTGGGCACCAGGAGAGAATTCTGGGACTTCCTTGCAGCTCACCCTCCTTCTGGCCCCTTAGGGCTTCTCTGAACTGCCCGGGTACCAGGTGCCTGGTGCAGACCTCAACCCTCGTCAGTTGCTGTACTTATACTGGGCCCGCTGGGGATGCTGGCACAAGTACCAGCCCCTGGACCATGTCCGAGAGTACTTTGGGGAGAAGGTGGCCATCTACTTTGCCTGGCTAGGTGAGTCTGGCACCAGGGGTAGGGAATAGAAGGGGCATCAAGTGCAGAGATGGGGGCTCATGAATGTTCTGTCACCCCTGCAGGCTTCTACACAGCCTGGTTGCTGCCTGTTGCCCTTGTGGGCACCCTGGTCTTCATCTCTGGCCTTGCCACCATGGGCACCAACACACCAGCGTGAGTGGCTATGTGGGGGAGGGTTGGGGGTGGACTGGGCCAGGAGGCTGGCTGAGTTTAGGCCCTCCCAGGATGGACAGTGATTGCTCCTAGGGAGGAGATCTGTGCCAGTGGGGGTGCCTTCCTCATGGGCCCACTCTGCGATACCTGTGCCACGTGGAATATTTCTGAGATCTGCTCCATGGCCAAGGTGAGCCAGGGCGGAGAGCAAATGAAGGGGCAGATATCTGGGACCCAGCACAGGGCCTGGCTGCTGGGAAAAGCAGTGCCTGGCCAGGCCTGCAGGGAGCCCTCTCTCCCCCTCCCTCGCAGCTGGGCTACCTCTTTGACCATCCGGGGACTGTGTGACTCAGCACCTTCATGTCCTTCTGGGCCATGGCCTTCCTGGAGCACTGGAAGCGCAAGAGCATCACCCTGGCTCACCACTGGGACTGCAGTGACTTCCAGGAAGAGGAGGTGACACTCAGCTCTGTCTTCCAGGCCCGGAACCTCCCCCTAAGTTCCCAGGGGCCACAAGAAATTCTGGGAAGAGCTCAGACTTTGGAGTCCAGCATCCCAGGCTCCAAATCTGGCTTTTTCCCACACTTCCTAGATCCCTTTTCCACCTCCCGACATCTAGGCCACATAAGGCTTGGTGAGGTTACATGTTGGGAGTATATAGGATCTCAGTGAGAAACCCTGCCTGGACCAGGGAAGAAGGCGAAAGCATTCCTCTCACCCACCTGCCCACCAAACATCTAATCCTTTATCCCGAGTCTGGTTGCTTCTTTCCACTGCCACCTCCCTCACCCCACTCCACCCAGTCTGAGCCACCACCTCACCTGGACCACTGCTGCAGCCTCTCAACAGGTCTCCCTGCTCCTCTGCTTGCCCCACTTAACCCAGTCTTAGCTGCCAGGACTATCTTTTGAAAACACACATCACATGCTGTGCTATCCTCGTCAATACGTGCCAGTGAGTTCTCAGAGGGGATGTGCTTGGAAAAGCACTGAAGCCCTTCACGGCGTCTCCAGGGATCTTTGTGATCAGGCTTCTGCTTGCTCTGGCTTCTTGCTGTTCCTTGACTAGGCCAGGTCATTTCCATACCAGGGCCTTGGCACTGCCAGAGTCCTCTTCCTCCAGACATTGTAAGTCCTTGTCATTTAGATCTAAGTTAAATGTCACCTTCTTAGGCCTTCCTGGGCCAATCATTCCAAAGAGTCTACTGATCACTGTTTTTATTTCATCACAGCATTTATCACTATAACTTCTTTGTTTCTTGTCTGTGCTCTGCCACTAGAATGTGGGCTGAATGAGAGTAGAGAGCTGTGATGCCAACCGCTACACTCCTGGGGCCAGAATAGACTCAGCACATAAAGAAGCTTAATAAATGTTTGTTGAATGACTCTACAAACCACGAGTGTATCTTTACCTAGCCATCTAACCCTCCATCAGCTGGAATAGACAGCAGTGGAGCCAGACTTGTCATTTCAATAGAGAATTTGATGAAAGGGGCTGATTGCTTACCCAAGCTTGGGAGGACTGAAAACAGAAAGGAACATTACCGTAACAAAGTCAGCATGAATGGTGCCCCCTGGAGGACAGGACACAGCAGGCTGCCCCTACGAACTGCCCCCCACACGCTGCAGAATGCTCCCCCTCTACTCCCTCCTGGCTTGGCATTTTTTTGGCTTTTAGGTTACAGTGACCGTCTCTGACATACAGTTTTCCTTCATAGGATTTATTCACACTCTCATATTTAATTCATTTGGTTTGTGTCTAGTGGACTAGACTCCCTTTGGGGTGTGGACTGTAAGCTCCCTTCAGGGGCCTGCCTTGTTACCAAATAATGCTTTAATCTGTCCCCTCACCCCTCCCTCCTCTCTCCTTTCATCCATCCACCCCTCCGTCCACCCCTCCATCTATCCTCATGTCCACTCACCACACAACCACACTGCCATCTGCATCCCCACCTCGTTATCTGTCCACCGACCCTTCACTCCCACATGTATAGAGATTTGCTGTTGGCCTGTCCAGTTCACCCACCCATCTGTCCTCCTGCTGTCCACCCAGCCACCAGTCTATCCAGCTCTCTCCTGCACGTGCATCCATTTGCTGTTTACTTCTGTCTACCCGTCCATGTACCCTCCCATGCATACATCTAGTCAGACTCTGAGGGATAAAGGCCTTGCAGAAACAAAAATGGATCAGACCCCCTTCCTGCATGTCCAGAACTCTCTGTGCAGACAGGAAAAGACAGGGGTCTTCCCTCACTGTGGAGTCCTAACCCCCAGCCTCTTGGCCCCCAGAAGGTGCATCTCTGTTGTCCCTCTGATAGGAGTGCCCATGCCCAGAGTTTGCTGCCCTGGCCCCACACATGGCCCAGAACCCAGTGACAGGCCTGAATGAGCCCTACTTCCCGATATGCACCCACCTTCCACGCCTGCTCACCGGCTCGGCGGCCATCCTCATCATGGTGAGAGGCTGGAGAAGGCTGACCCCTCTGGGGTGGTCTGGGACCCCAGGGGCCTGCTCTGCAGCTCTGACAGCCCTCTTTGACGGCTCCCAGCTCTGCGTGGTGATGATTTTCCTGGTATCTGTCATCATCGACCGTGGCATCGTCAGCATTGCTATGTTCCACACGGGCAACCCTGTCCTCATGACACAAGTGAGTGCCCCTGGAGTGGAGGGTAGCAGCACCTTTCCAGGCCCAGCCCCAATGTAGGTGTTCTCAGGCTCCTCAGGCCCCCTGCGGCTGGGCTCCAGGTGATGGCTATTACTCTGTCTAGGCTGGCAACATTGCCAACATCAGCAGCACTGTGCTCAACCTGGTGCTAAGCCTCCTCTTGGGCCAGGTCTATACCTCGCTGGCTGAGCAGTTCACCAGGTGGGGTGAGTTAGGGCAGGGGATCGCATGGGTGTCCTGGCATCCGTTTGGCAAGTGGGAACCCTAACACAAGGCTTCCTGAAACTCAGAGCCTGCAATCCCCACCGTGGTGTCCCCATCCTCAAATAAGGCTGACAAGAGGCACGTAACAGGCATTAGGGGAAGCTGGGGACAGAAGCATGTGCATTGATCCCATGGGCTGTGCCTGCCCCTGATACCCAATACAATTCCGATCACCTCTGCATTTTGCCTAAAAATGCACAGAACCGAGACCCTCCATGAAGACGCCTTCACTTTCAAAGTCTTCATCTTCCAATTCGTCACTTTCTACTCTTCTCCCTTTTATGTGGCATCTTCAAAGGCAGGTGAGGACCTCTCCTCCCCCCAGGCTGCTGCCTCCCAAAGAAGTGCCCCAGCAGAGGGGTATATCCTTGAGTCTCCAGGTTTGTCTCTACCAAGGTCTTGCTGTTGACCTTGACCTTGGTCCTTGAATTCCCTGAGTTTCAATTTTCTCAACTATAATGTATCAGCATATCCTTGGGTAGAGGCAAAACTCTAACGCCTGCATGCATTCATTTCTCGCCCTCCATGAGTGACCCAGGCCTGACAACCCCACCTCCCAGGGCTGTAGTTTGGGTTCATTGCCATTTTTGTCATGGACTTCCTGGACCGGGCACTTGGGACACACAAATGACCCAGAATTGGGCTTTTCCTCTAGGAGCTCCCAGTTTTCAATGAAGACTGGTTAGGAGAATTTTTGATATGCTAGATGCCCAGGAAGTGGTATAATGAGTATTGTTATTTGGTGGGGACTAGAGGGGGACTCACCAGAAGCAGGTCCCTGGCAGTGTGACTGTCTTTTCCTGGGCCAGAAATACCCCATTGGCTTCTCATGGGCTAAGCAGTAGATTTGGGCCATGGTCCCAACAGGTCCATGGAGCATAGCTCTCTGGGGCATGTAAGGGGGGTGGGGTGTCAAGGCTTTCCAGAGCTCTGTCACCAGAGTTAGCTGGTGGGTGGGTGGGAGATCAGAGGGTCAGGAGCATAGTGGGGCGAGGGGATCAGCCTTAGCATGGAGGTTAGCTGTGGCTGGCCCCAAAGGGCAGGGGGCATGGCCAACAAATGCAGTGGGCCTACAGGTTTGTGGGGTACCCTGGTCAGTACGGCACACTGCTTGGCATGCGCAACGAAGACGTGAGTAGCCTGGGTAGCCGACTCTTGGCGAGGGCAGGGCAGGGGTTATCATGCCCTTAGGTCTGGCAGGGCAGGAGCTGCCCCCAGGGCCTCCAAGGGATGGAGGGCAGGCTTCATGCTCTGGCAGAGAGGTGGGACACCCCCGTGCAGCCCCTAAGCCCTGAGTAAGGTGCCCTGTGTCTGCCAACCACAGTGCGGCCCTGGCGGCTGCCTCCTGGAGCTTGCTCAGAGGCTCTTCACCATCATGGTGGGCGAGCAGCTGGTCAGCAACGTGCAAGAGTTCGTCTTGCCATGAGTGCGGGGAGTGGCGAGGGCACGGGCCGGGCCTGGTCAGGCCACGGGAAAGGCTTTTATGAGAATAAACAGAAAAAAACCTTGAGAGAGGTGGTCAGGAGACAGAGACATAAGTCCAAGTTTTGCCTCTTGTAAGCTCTGCGGCTAAGTCTCAGTCTCCTCTCCCGGATAATGGGGACAGAGGTGACACTCTACCAGGGTGGAGAAGATGAAATGAGATGCTGAACAGGAAAGAGGAGGGCTTTCTGTTATTATTTTTTGGGTGGGAGGGGGCTTCCCAGAGCAAGAATGAACATTTAGGAATGAGGAGCACTGGACTCTAGGTCCAACGGACTGAATTTGAGTCTGGTTTCCCCTTACGATTTGGGAACTCTGGGCAAGGTCTCTGTCTCCTCATTTGTAAAGTGGGGATGATCATGGTTCCTGTCACTGATAGCGCTGGGGGGATGGAAATGGCATCATCTGTTTTCCCTGCCCCCCAAATCCCCCACCCTAGGAAGCTGAAGGGCTGGTGGCAGAAGAGGCAGCTGGCTGGGTTGCTGGGCACCGAGATCGCGCAGGAGCTTTGGCGTTGGGAGGACTATGAGCTCATCCAGCGTGAGGGCCTGTTTGATGAATACCTGGAGATGGGTGAGCAGTGAGTGACCCAGTGGTACCAGGCCCAGCAGGGTCCCTGGAGCCCTGGCACAACTGGGGAGGTGACCCCGGGCCTGACCCTCCCCACCTCCCAGTGCTGCAGTTTGGCTTCATCACCACCTTAGTGGCCGCCTTCCCACTGGCTCCCTTGTTTGCTCTGCTCAACAACTGGGGGGTGGAGATCCGTCTGGACGCCCACAAGTTGGTGTGCGGGTACCGGCGGCCGGTGGCTGAGCCGGCACAGGGCATCGGGATCTGGCTGCACCTGCTTGAGGCCATGGCCCACCTTTCGGTCATCGTGAATGTGAGTGTGGGCAAAGGAGGGGCCCCCGGGGCTCGGGAGGGGGGACACGGAGGTTGGAGACTGGGCAAAGAGGCTGGTGTAGGGACGTGGGGTCTGGGGCTGGAAATCGGGGTCAGAGACGGGGAAACAGGCGAAGGGCTGGGCGCTGGGGCCTCGCGCTCAGCTGCCCGCGGGCGTGGCCGTGGCCCGGAAGAGCGCGAGCCGGGCCCTGGCCCGGGCTTTCCTGCTCGCCCCCACCTCGGGCTTCCTGCCGCGGCTCCTGTCGCGTGGGAGCAGCAGGGCCGGCGGCGCGGCCCGTCAACCTCACGCTGGCGCCTGCACCCCCGGCCTACCGCGCCCAGGGCAACCGCAGCGGTGCAGGTCGGACGCCCACCAGGCAGCGGGGGCAAGCGCGCGCGCGCGTGTGCGCATGTGTGTGTGCGCGCGTGTGTGTGTGTGTGTGAGTGTGTGTTGCGGGGCGGGGGGCGGGGGGGGCGGGTCCCTCCGTGGAGCCTGGCTCTGCAGGGCGGGAGGGGCGCGGGCACCGGGCCTGGAGGGGGGGCGCGCGCGCGCGTGCGGGAGGCGTGCGGTGGTGCCTAACTGGGCGGGCAGGGAGCCGAGCCCCGGGTCTGCGCCGGCTGCGGGACGGCTGGAAAGGCGGGGCCAGGCCCCACCGCGGGGCGGGGCGAGCCCGGGGCGGAGTCCAGGCTGAGTCCAGCCTCCCCGACCCCGCGCCCTGCAGGTACCAGGCCTTTCCCGACGCGCGGGGAAACCTCACCCTCTGCTACTGGCAACGGCAGGCTGTGCGTCTGGGCTCCATCATCGCTTTCGAGGTAGGCTGTGCGTCGGGCAGACCTAGGCTCCAGCTCAGGTTCTGCCGCCGGTTGGCTGTAATGGGATGTGTTGCGGAATAGGAGCTGCTGCTTGCATCGCCGTGAAGACCCAAGGACTCGCACAGTGCCGAGCGCATCTCAGTGCTCGATGAATTCATATCACGACGACCGGACGCTTCTATCTCATGGCCACAGACCCATGAGAAGAGGAAACGCGCTCCCCTCAGCTTTGCTCAAGATCCCCTTTCTCTAACCCCTCGCCTCTAACGGGATCCCTTAGTGCGCCTTTGGGCAAATGACAACCTCTTCATGCTTTGGCTTCACCTGGAAATGAGAGTCGGGACTGCACCCACCTCCTAGAGGTGTGAGGATTAAATTAATCAGTCCCCGGGAAAGCCTGACGGGCGCCTTGCACTCCTAGCACCCCCTAAATTAAGATTGCTAAGGCGGCCCTTCTGTTTGGCCCCTCTTCTCCCCAGCACGTGGTGTTCTTCTTCCTGCGCCCCATCGCCTGGCTCGTGCCCCCCGACGTGCCAGCCGCCCTGGCCACCGAGATAAAACGCGAGCGCTGCTGGGCCAAGCGGGCGCTGGCGGGCAACCGCGGGGCGCTGCTCTCGGGCGGAGCCCGGCCCCACCCCTGACCACGCCCCTCGTGCCCGCCCAGCTTTTAGCCCCGCCCCTCGTGCCCGCCCTCCTGCTTGGCCTCGCTGAGAGGGAGGATGGATTTCCACTGGCCCCGCCCCCACCAAGCCCCGCCCACTCCACGCCCCGCCCACTCCACGCCTCTTCTTTTCTATTATCTCCACCCGAGTCCCTGGGCTCTGGACAGCCAGTCAGCCTGCCCAGCCTGCCCAAGCCGTGCTTTCTGTCCACTGCAGCAGGGGCGCTGTCCCCGGAGCCCCGGACACAGGGACGAGTGAGGCGGGACTGCTCTGCTAGGACCCTAGGTCTGCCCCATGCTCATTCCACGGGGTCCTCTGCTCTGGCTGGGGCTGGGGAGTACCATGGCCAGCAGCCCCAACTCACCCGGGGCTGGGACAGGAGGATTCGAGTTCCCTGTAGAACCCTAGTCCTGCAGTGTCCCCCTCTTCCTGCTGCGTGTCTCCTGCACTGTGCAGTGCTGACAATAAACCTGTCTCTGCACCCCACTGTCACCCTCCTGTGGGACCTGGTCCCTTCCCACTCTGTGCAGTGTCTCACTATGTGATAATACTCTGGGGGCCAAAGTGGATATCAGAGAAAGGAGGGATATAGTCACTCTGAAATGAATAGTCCCAAGTTTTGTTAGGAAGGTGCCGCAAATAGTTGGGGCGTGGGTCCTGGATCCCCATCCCAAGTGCTCATCAAGGCCTGTGGTGCATGAATAATGGCTAGGTCAGCTGGGACAGCTGCTAATGGACCTGCACACACTTCTCACCTGATACCCCTAAAGGTCAGCGTGGATGTACTGGACAGTGGCTAAGGACCTGTCAGTGGTGGAGTCAGATAGACCTTAGTTTGAATATTAGTTCGGACTCTAAGTCATCATGTGACCTTGGCCAAGGAATATATATAGTTCCTTGAACCTCAGTTTCATCATCTATAAAGCAGGGACTTCATAGAGCTGAGGAGAGATTTAAAATGGGGTGGCACTTGTGATTCAACCTGGACAAGCCTCCTGCTCTCATGTGATGAGTGAAAGCAGTCATGGCACCTTCCTAGGGTCCCAGTGGAGCTTAGATGGGTTGAAGTGCTGAGCACACTCCCGGCACACAGAGTTATTAGAAAGTGGGTATTAGTATTTGTGCATCTGTTCACAGCAGCGCCGGCCACACTGAGAGCTCAACAAATGGCAGGTAGCGTTAGGAGAAGGCCACGCCCCTCTCGCCGGGTTGGGGAGACGGGAGCCCAGCACACAGCAGGCCACAGCGGAGGCTGCTTCTCCTTGGGCTGTTTGAGTGCGTTTATGAAGGGCTGCTTCCATGTGGACTAGAGTCAGGCTGGTGGAGGCTGTGGGTGAGGGTGGCGAGGAGGGTCTTCCAGGCAGCGGGGAAGGATGGGCGATCACGGGGAGCTGTGATGCTGGAAGGACTGGCCAGGCTGATGCCAGACGCCTCATGTCACCTACTTTCCCGATTTCTGTCTCCCAACTACAGAGATGGGTTCCCACTTAACAGATGCTGTAGCCGGTCGAGAGAACACACCAGCGTTCTCATGCTCCCTGAAGAGCCCAAGGCTTGGGGGGCTTTCTGGGAAGCTCCCAGGATGCTCCCCAGTCCCAGCTCACATTTGGGAAGCCCCAGAAGCGGGTTGACCTGTCTCCTGGAGGAGAAAGCAGTACCTTCCCCCATCTTTAGGAAGTCGGTCTGGGGTCCTTCAGAGCCTCTCCTGGGCATAGGACTCCCATTGTTCCAGCCCCCTCTTGTACCCCAGACTGGCCAAACCGGTTCTGGGGAAGGGGGGCGGGGAGCAGGCACGTTGAGACAGCCACCTGCCCGCCTGCGAGGTTCCCTCCGCCTTCACCTCCCCCTCCCCGCCCCACACAATACCCAGCCGCTTGCCTGGCCCGGCTCAGGGGCCATGCTGACATCGCCCCCTGAGGACCTGGCTGCAACCCCAGAGCCCTCAGGGCGGCCTGGAGCCCTGGACCGTGCTGGAGGCTGGACGGAGCTCCCTGGCTGAGGTAGGGCCCCTCCTGCTGCCTGCCTGCCTGCAGCCCCATCCTCCTCCCGCCAGTCTTCCCCTTGAGTCCTTTGTGCTGCCTGCCTGGCCGCTGGTCCTGGCCCAGACCCACTTCTGGCCTCCTGGGACTCTGCAGCTGGCCTGGCCTAGATACCCTGTCCAGCTATGACCTCCCGCTTGGCTTTGTCCCTTGATGGGCAGAGAGGTTCTGGCGGAGACCTGCTTCTGAGAGCCAGGGAAGGGGCAGCTGAGGTGGGGGGCAGGGAATTACTGGGCATGGGGTCAGAGGGCCTCTGCCCGAACCACAGTAGTGCCCAGGGCCTTCTCTCCTAGCTTTGCCCAGTAGGCTCATTGTCCCAGTGATAGCAGAGCCCCCTGAATGGAACCCTCCCTGGCCCCTGCCCATCCTTCTCAGCCTGCAGAGACGGTGACACAGGTTTCCTAGAGAGGGCAGCATGCAGATGAGGACACTGAGGCCCAGGGATGGGCTGTGATTTGCCTAAGGCCACATAGCTGGTCAGTGTCAACCCGGGGCCTTGAACCTTGACAGCGGCTTTCTCTGTGGGTTCCAGAACCTACAGAGTTAATGTTCTGGTTTACTCATATCATTCTGGAGCCCACAGAGTGGGCACTAGAGTATCCTCTGGGGATCATATCTTGGGCAGCTAATGCCCCTGCCATCTGGGGGCAGTTCTTTCCCTGAAGATTTTTTCTTTTTCTAGCAGAACACACAATATGAAGACACAATATGAACCCAGCTCTGCCCTCCTTGATCCCCAGCATTTTTACTGGGTGCGCCATATCCCTAGAAGGCCGCAGGGCCAGCATCCCAGCTAGAGTCATTCTCTGCACCCCCTGGACTGGACAGAGTTGAAGGCTGACTCACTCCTGACTCCCCTACCACCCTCTTCTAGGGACCTGCCTCTAGCATGGTCTCCCCAGAAGCTTCCTCCAATGCCCCCCCCCCACATCCACCCAACCTTCTCTGAAGCTTTAATAGGAGGTGCTTCTGCCCCCAAAGGCACCATGTTTTGCTCATTTATTCCTGCAGTTGACAAGGGGGAAGGTTTCCTCCCTACCCTTCAGGGACTTCTAGAACCCAAGTGGAGAGAATCTTCCAGAATGCAAGGAGTAGGGTGTGCATGCTGACACTTGGATCCATGTTGTAAAGGATTTCTGATTCCTGGAGACAGAAGCCTGTGGTCCCCGCGTCTCCTGCCACATGCTCCTAAAAAAGTAGGGCGTGTCTCATCCTCACTGCCTCAGTTTCCCATCTGTGTGATACCCAAGGATCTCCCTGACTAGAGAGAGACACTCAGAAGAATGACTGTCCACTGCAGAGCTAGCTGTGGGTTAGGGACGTCACACATATTCTGGTTAACTCACATCAGCCTATGAGTCAGTCAATTATCCTATTTACCAGTTGAAAAGAGACTTGTTCAGATGGACATTCAGGATGTGGTCAGGTGTGAGGGACAGAGGTTTAAGGTACAAGGTAAAGATGTCCCTGTAGGGATGACCTGGAGGAATAACTGTCTCAGGACAGCCAACCACACTTCCCTCACCCCAGGCAAGGGATGAAGAGAGCAGGAGAAGCAGTTAGGAGGCTGTGTAGAGAGTTGAGGGCGGCCCAGTCAGAGACCCAGCTTTCCCCCCACTGGGTCTCCCAGCCTCTTTCTTCCAGTGTAGCTGACAAGGTCACTGTTTCTCTCCCGCCAAGACTTTCTCCCTAAGGTGCCCTGGGTCCTTGAGTAGTTCAGGAGGGAACAGTCAGCTATTATTTCCTCCAGGAAGCCTTCCTGGAATGCTCGAGTTGAGCCCAGCACCCTCGGATGCTTTCTCTGGCTTGGCTCTTGCCAACCTGCATTGTAACTGTTTTCATTTGTGGCTCCCCACCAGAGTGGCAGCCCCACAGGGCACAAAACATTTGTCCGACTGTCTCCTGAGTTTTTCTGAGCTCCACATCTGTCTCCGAGTATCTGGGTTGTTGGAAATTTTCAGTCTTTGTCTCCGTTTCCATCTCTGGGTCCCTGAATGTCTCAGCATCTGTGGTTTTCTGGCCTCAAGTGTTTTTGGGGTCTCGGTTTCTGAGCAGCTGTCTAAAGGATCTTCCTTTCTCTCGGTCCGTCTCCTGGGTCTCCTGGCCTTACCAGGCCTGGCACTGCCCATTTGGCCTGAGGGGCCTCTGGAGGGGGTCCTTGCTGCCACGCCTGCCCACTGTGAGGCCAGGCTAGGGTAGGCCCCCGCCCAGCCCGCTGCCTGCTCCCTCCCTCCCTGCCTGCTTGCCTCACCACAGGGTTTGATGAATCAAACTCTTTGTCTGGGTGGGATCTCCCCCAGCCAGCTGGGCAGAGAGAGGGCTTCCCCTGCCGGAGCAGCTGAACAACATCAGAGGCAGCCTGTCTGCTGGAGAGGTGAGGGGCTGCAGGAAGGCAGCCAGCTAAGGGCCTGGGGCAAGAGCTATGGGGCTCAGACCCTTGGATCCCTAGGCCCGGCCCCCGGCCCCGAGCTCCGGCAGCCTCGCTGGGATGACTCCCTGCCCAGAGAGGACCCAGTCGATTTGGTCCGCTCCCGGGGCTTGGCGCTGGGGCTGGGGAGAACCCCTCTCTCACACCAAGCTGGGAGAGGGGCTGCGGCACCTCCCTGCCCTTCTCTTGGGAGGGCCAGCCTCATCTGGGTGGTGGCCTGCCTGCTAGTCCATGACCCTCCCAGCCAGCTTGGCATGGGTGTGGGCAAAACTCAGTGCCAAAGGCTGCCACTCAGCATGGGAGGGGAGGTTGGGTAACAGCAAAGCCAGGACTCCTGGGCCTGTGTGTTTGTGTCTACATCCTGGTGTGAGTGTGAAGGTATCAGGAATATGAGAAAGCTTGAGTGGACCTGTAAACATCTGATGGGACAGCGTGTGTGTGTGTGCATGCGTGTGAATATATCTGGTGTGTATATAAGTATGTGTGTGTTAATGTGAGAACCTGTGAATTAAAAATGTGCAGATGCCAACATGTGTACTGGGGAGAACATGCATGGAACATACCTGGATGCATGGGACAGTGGGTGTGATCAGATGTCAGGGGGCTGAAGTTAGACTGGCTGGGTGCAGTCTGGCTCCACCACAACCTCTCTGTGTCCTGTAAAATGGGGATAAAAGTAGCATCCCCTCGGGGTTGTTGTGAGGCCTGAATGGGAGCATATGTGTAAAGTCCTTGGCCAGTATAGCCATTACTATAGATTTAGGCATCTGAGTGTGCTTTTTTTTTTTTTAAAGATTTATTTATGCATCCAAGAACTAGGGTATAGGACAGAGGTGTGGGGGGGGGGGGCGGTGAGAGAATTCACCAGGGACAGAGTGGGGAGCAGAACAGGCAGATTGACTGAAATACACTGCTGAGGGGCGCAGCGGGTGAGACAGGAGAGGTCTGCTGTGCCATGTGGGTAGCTCCCTGGCCGGGGATCGAACTTGTGCTGCAGTGGCTGCCGATGGCTCATAGTGCTGAGACTTAACCCCTTGAGCCATCAGGGAGGCCCCCGAGTGTGCTTTGCAGAGATGTGTGTACAAGGGCTTGTCCAGGTCTCCTGGACACAGTAGCCCACTGGCAGCCCTGGAGTCCTATGTCTGCCTCTGACACCTTCTCCCCTGCAGGCCCAGGTGGGTGGCAGAGCAAAGGAGGAATGGACTGTAGGCCACCTGCCACCCTCCAGTCCCACCTGGCCGGGCCGCCTGGCACTGTGCACCGCCCAGTAGCCGTGTGTCAGCAGGAGAGTCTGTCCTTTGTGGAGCTGCCCACCCTGCAGCCCCCCAGCCCTGTGTGTCTGGATCTCTTTCCTGTCGCCTCAGAGGAGCTGAGGGCTCCCGGAAGCCGCTGGTCCCTGGGGACCCCTGCTCCTCTCCAAGGACTGCTATGGCCACTATCCCCAGCAGACCCAGACACCGAGGTCTCCACTGGTGGGGGAATGCGGCCCAGCAGGGCCGGCAGCTGGCCCCACTGTCCTAGTGCCCAGCCTGCAGCTCTGGAAGGACCCTGGAGTCCTCAGCACCCACAGCCACAGCGCCGGGCCAGCCATGGCTCAGAGAAGAAGTCAGCCTGTGAGTCACCTGGGTGAGGGGGTGGTGGCCCGGCAGGGTGGATGATGGAGAGCTTGCATGGCTCCTTTAGGTCCCTTAAGTGCCAAAGTTCCCAAGTGGGCAGGACAAGTGGGAGATTTTAGTGATGAGGAAACTGGAGCTCAGGGAAGGCAAATGACTTGTCCAAGGCTCCCTATTAAGCGAGCGGCTGTCCTGGGCTCCCTGGTCCCTCTGCCCACTGCTGTCAGGTTCTGTGCTCTCTCTAACCCCCTCGACATCCCATTGTTCTAAGGACAAGTTCCCAGGAAACACATGGGCCTTCCCCTTGGGCACTTCCCTCAGATGCTCAGGGCCACAGGGAGGTCCCTGCAGTAGCAGGAATGAGGTGGGGACAGTCCCCAGAGGACACCCGCCTGTGCTCTCACCCCATCCTCCTGCAGGGCGCAAGATGCGGGTGTACCAGTGTGAGGAGGCCCCTAGCAGCCCGGAGGCCCATGCAGTCTTCCTGGAGCCTGGCCAGGCAGCAGAGCCGGCCCTGAGCACCGAGGAGCCTAGGACCCTGGAGCTGTCTGGGCCCACCCGCGTGGGCATCGAGGGGCCTGAGCGGAGGCGCTTCTCAGCCTCGGAGCTGATGACCCGCCTGCACTCTTCCCTGCGCCTGGGACGAAATTCCGCAGCCAGGGCACTGACCCAGGGGTCGGGCACCACAGCAGCCCGAGAAGGTACCAGCTCCTCCCGGGGGCCCTGAGAGCAGCCCATGAGCCAGATGGCCAGTGGGGCACAGTCCACACTCACCGCACACCTGCGCCTGGTGCTGGTCAGCTGCAGTGTGGCACCCCAGTGCCCAGGGCCACTCTTGGGGCCCACACCCTCAGCTCTCGCCCTCTGCAGGGAAAGCGTCTGCAAGGGAGTCGCGCAGTGCAGAGCCGAGGGTGGACGGCGTGGCGACGCCAGCCCCTGCTGACCCGAGCGCGGGCCATGGAGGCTGGCCCGAGCCCAGGTACCACCTGCCCCTCGGGACGGGCTCTGCTCTGCGGCCAGGCCCCTTGGAGGAAGAGGCTGACCCTGTGCCTTCCCCAGGCTGGACGCGCAGGAGGAGCCGGCTCTGGGTTCCAGGAGCGGCAGCGAGCGGCGCCAGTCTCGGTTTCTCCTTAACTGTACGTGGGAGGCGGCCCGGGGCCGGGGGCCGGGGAGCTGGGGCGTTGCGGGGTACAGCCCGCGAGAGGCAGAGAGCGGCCTTCGGGACGCGGCGCAGGGGCGAGAGCTGCTCGCGGCGGGATGAATGAGCTCGTCCCGCCCTCCGCCCGCCGGGGCTCGCGGAGAAGCGGTCTGGGGGGGGATTCCCTGGGGGGGGGGCGGGGGAGGGCCGGCCGGCAGGTGCCCCACGCCGTCCCCCGCCCTTCTCCCCGCCCAGCCGTCCTCTACCAGGAGTACAGCGACGTGGCCAGCGCCCGCGAGCTGCGGCGGCAGCAGCGCGAGGAGGAGGGCCCGGGGGACGAGGCGGAGGGCGCGGAGGAGGGCCCGGGGCCCCCGCGCACCAACCTCTCCCCGAGCAGCTCCTTTCGGGCGCAGCGCTCGGCGCGGGGCTCCACCTTCTCGCTGTGGCAGGACATCCCCGACGTGCGCGGCAGCGGCGTCCTGGCCACGCTGAGCTTGCGCGACTGCAAGCTGCAGGAGGTGGGTGCGGCCCCCCCCCCCCCGGGCGGGTCCCCCGGGCCGCGGGCAGCAGGGGTCGGTCGAGGGCCCGAAGGGGCGGGCGGGGCCGGGGGGGCGTGCCGAGGGCCGGAGGGGCGGGGCCATGGAGGGGCGGGGCCATGGAGGGGCGGAGCGCGGGTTCTTGGGGGCGGGGCCGGGGGGGTGCCTGGGACCGGATTTAGCGGGAGCAGGCCCGCGGGATTGCGAAAGGCAAAAGGTGGGCAGGGTACCCCGCGGGCCAAGGGGGCCCCCAAAAGGGAGGGGTTGGCGGGACTGTCAGCGCGGAAGGTGGGTGCTAGGGCCTGTCAAGGTGGCGCTGACGAGAAGCGAGGGGAGAAGAGCGAGGGAAGGAGGCGAGGGGAGTCGAGGGGGCGGGGCCAGCGGGACACGCCCCGGGGCGTGGCCAGAGAAGGGGCGTGGCCAGGCTCGGCCCCTGCAGCGGATCGCGGGAGGCGGGGACGAGGCAGGCGGACCCTTGCTGGGCGCAGCACCAGGCGGGGCCCAGAGCTGGGGCGTCCCTCTCGCCTCGGGAGAAGCAGGGCCTTGGAGGACCGGGGCTGGGCGCGATGGGCGGGGCTGGAGGTGAAGTCCGGGGCCCCTAAGGGGCTCCAACAGTGGCGCGCAGCGGGAGGCCTGTGCCCTCTCGGGGGTCTGGGGCGGGGCTCGAGAAGGCGCGGAAGGGGGCTGTGCCGTCGAAGGGGGTTGCAGTGGGGAGGCGGGTATGCCAGACAGTGTCTGGCCCCGCTCTTTCAATCCCCCACCTCCATTCCCACCCCCACCCCGTCCGCCCTCGCCCAGGCCAAGTTCGAGCTCATCACGTCGGAGGCGTCGTACATCCACAGCCTGTCGGTGGCCGTGGGGCACTTCTTAGGCTCCGCGGAGCTGAGCGAGTGTCTGGGGGCGCAGGACAAGCAGTGGCTGTTCTCCAAACTGCCCGAGGTCAAGTGCACCAGCGAGAGGTGAGGGGGTGGTCTGTCCTGGACGGCCCGAGTCCGAGCCTGCCGTCGGCAGGGCTCCAAGTTCCGTGGTCTCTCCCCGGCACCCACCACCCCCCGGACGCCTTGCTGACCCCTCAGGTTCCTGCAGGACCTGGAGCAGCGGCTGGAGGCAGATGTCCTGCGCTTCAGCGTGTGCGACGTTGTGCTGGACCACTGCCCGGCCTTCCGCCGAGTCTACCTGCCCTACGTCACCAACCAGGCCTACCAGGAGCGCACCTACCAGCGCCTGCTGTAGGGCTGGGGGCTCTGGAAGGGAGGGGGATACAGGGAGCCCCAGGCAGGCGTGGGTCGGGGAGGACCGAGGGAGAAGAGGGGTCCTGAGAAGGTCTGTGTGACCAAGATAAACTAGACCCAAGCCGAGGGGGAGGGAGCATGTGCTGAGAAGGCATCTGAGAGACCAGTGGGTGGCAGGGGGTCCAGGACTAAGTGTTCATAGGATCCATGAACCCACCTATGATGCCAGACACCTCCCCCCTTTTCCAGTCTGGAGAACCCCAAGTTTCCCAGCATCCTGGCTCGCCTGGAGGAGTCTCCTGTGTGTCAGCGTTTGCCCCTCACCTCTTTCCTCATCCTGCCCTTCCAGAGGATCACCCGCCTCAAGATGCTGGTGGAGGTACCTAGTGGGCACCAGGGGGTGCTGCGGCTGGGCAAGGGAGATGCTGCTGTGTCCTCCACAGCCCCTGCCGGCCTTCAGGGTGGGCAGGGTCGAGGCGGAGATGACAGCCTGCCTCATGGTGCCAACCCCACCCTCCAGAATATCCTGAAGCGGACAGCACAAGGCTCTGAGGATGAAGATATGGCCACCAAAGCCTTCAATGCCCTCAAGGAGGTGAGCTTGGTGGGCAGGAGCCTCCCCGAAACCCCACCATGTCTCTGAAAGAGCCCAGCTTTCTGAGTGCTGGGTCCCCAGGTGGGGTCTGAGGCTGGGCTCTGGGAGCCTGGCTGCAGGTGACCCACCCTTGGCCTTCCCAGCTGGTGCAGGAGTGCAATGCCAGTGTGCAGTCCATGAAGAGGACAGAGGAGCTCATCCACCTGAGCAAGAAGATCCACTTTGAGGGCAAGGTGCATGCTGGCAGCTGGTGGGGCAGGGCACACAAAGGGGTGGCTCTTGGCCCCACCTTCCCTGGGGGCTGCACTTCATCACTTCTCACGCCTCTGTCCCCTGTCCTGTGCTCTCTGCCTGCTGCCCCTGGGCCTGACCTGTCCTCCTCCTTCCTCCAGATCTTCCCGCTGATTTCCCAGGCCCGCTGGCTGGTTCGGCATGGGGAGCTGGTGGAACTGGCACCCCTGCCCGCAGCTCCCCCTGCCAAGCTGAAGCTGTCCAGCAAGGCAGTCTACCTGCACCTCTTCAATGACTGCTTGCTGCTCTCACGGCGGAAGGAGTGAGTGGGGACACGTGTTGGGGATGGGGGAGGCTCCCTTCATCCCCACCAAAAAGGCGCAGGAGCCCCACAGCCCATGGAAAGGCTATACCACCAGGGCACCTTGCACCTCGGAGGCTCCCTCCAGGAAAGCACAGACAGAGGCAAGTCCATCTTCGGACTTGAGAATCAAGGGCTGGACTGTGTGGGGAGGACTTGAAGCTGCTCTGAATTTAAGCCAATTAGAGCAGAGATTAAAAGCATGACCCTAGAGCCCAGCTCTGCCCCGAGGCATAATGGTAACTGTCAACACCTATGTTACATGCATGGATTACTCCCTTTAATCCTCTCAACATCTCCGTGGGAAGCAAGACCCCTTGTTAGTCTCAAGATCATGGAGCACAGAGGTCAGGTCTGTCTGCTGCCAGATCCCAGGCTCTTATTCACGCCACTATCCTGTCTTCCATCTGTGGAATAGACACTACCATGTAGGGAGATTCAAATGGAGAATAACACGTGAAAAGAGCTTAGCACAGTGCCTGGCGCACAGTGTTCACTGTGCTTATTAGAAATTTGGGACGAAGGGCCTCCCCGGTGGCGCAGCGGGTTGGGCGCTGGGTTGCGAAGCTGCCCGCAGCCTCTGCAGCGCCGGTTCGATCCCCGGCTGCTGGACGAGGGTCCCACATGGCGTGCAGGCCTCTCCTGCCACCCGCTGCTCCCCTGAGCAGTGTGCTTTGTCACTCTGCCTGTTCTGCTCTCCACTCTGGCTCTGGTGAATTCTCTCACCCTCCCGTACCTCTGACTGTGCCCAGTGCTTGTATAGATGGATGGATAAATCTTTAAAAAAAAAAAGAAATTTGGGACGAAGGAGAAGACTTCTTGAATGCGATAAGTCTTAAGGCTGGATGGGATGAAGACTGTCATCTTGTTCTATGGGAAGAGTTTGTTCCCGGTTGATTGACTCATTTACTAAGATGTCATTGGACCCCTGTTCTGCGCCAGGTCCTTTGATGAATGCTGGTGACACAGATGGAGAGACTTGTTCAGTGAAAATACATCCTAATAACCACCTCGTCAGGGTTTTGAGGAAGGGTGTACTGCCACGATATCATCCTCTGTTTTTGGACGCTCCACAATAAACTTCATAGAGGAAGGAGCATTTGAGCTGGGTTTTGAAGGATACGTAGGAGTTTTCCAGGTAGAGGAGGAGTTTGCAGCGGGGTAGGGGGCATAGCAAAGTCACAGTAGGCCCGCTGGCCGGTTCAGCAGTGTGTTTGAGGGATGGTGATTTCTAATGTGTCTGGGTTTGTAGAGAGGAAGGTCGGGAGAGGGAAGTTGGAGTGTTGAAAGTCATGATAGAGCAAGAAAGCGTGGAGAAATAAGCAGAGGAGTAAAATTCAACTCCTGGCCAATTTGGAGGATGGACTGGAAGAGGGGAGACCAGACTGGAAGAGAGGGGTAATTGCTCTTGCAATTACCCAGTTGCAAGCAGGAGGAGCAGGAAGTGGCAGGGGCTTGGGGATAGGGGGTTCCGGGATATTAATGCAGTAGACAGATAAGGCATATCTGCTGGTGGGTGTGGGGTGAGAGAGAGGAAAGAGATGAGAAGGACTGAGTTTCCTCTTGGGCAACTTGCTGGGATGTTTCACTAGAATGGGGCCGGCGAAGGGATCTGGTTTGGAGTGGGAAAAACTGGGTTCTCTTTACATGGGCTGAGATGAAGGCTCCTCTGGCACAATCTCTCCCCACCCACCCACCCTTCCCATGAGTATTGAACCCACATTGTGAGCCAGGCAGGGGCAGGCACTGGCTTATAGCAGCCAACGAGAAACAAAGCTCGGCCTTCGTGGACACAATTAGAGTCAGACACCAGACAATCCACGGGTCTCCTCGGGGGCTGCCTGGGTGCAGGGATGGGTCTCCATGGCCTCCCCCTTGTCCGTGACCTGGGGGAATGGCTGGCATTCCTGACTCCTTTGGAGAACTTGGCAGGCTGTCGGGGAGGCTGAGCTCTGTGCAGCCAAGCTTCCTTGAAATCACCTGGTCCTGGGGGTGGGAGCTGGCACCGGCAGGCTGACCACCCCTCCACTGGTCCTGCAGGCTGGGGAAGTTTGCCGTCTTTGTCTACGCCAAGATGGCCGAGCTGCAGGTGAAAGACCTGAGTCTGAGGCTGCAGGGCATCCCTGGCCACGTGTTCCTACTTCAGCTCCTCCACGGGCAACACGCAAAGCACCAGTTCCTGCTGAGGGCCCGGACGGAGTGAGTAGCCTGGCGATGGAGTGAGGAAACCCCCCCTCCCCGGCAGGCAAAAGGCTTCAGGAGGGTGGCATGAGGGGCCGAGCTGGCAGGCGGGGGCTCTGGGTTGGCCCTTTTCTGCTCAGAGCTGGTGGGGCACCGGCTTGCGAATGGGGGAGGGAAGACACGGCCTGGATCCTGGGTCTGGACATCATCGCCATCGTCTCCAGTCCTCCCAGCCCGTTTCAGCGCCCTGGTCCTGGGAGGCTGCACTTAGCTTGTGACAACTGTTTCCCCCTCCCTAGAAGTGAGAAGCAGCGATGGATCTCAGCCATGTGCCCCTCCAGCCCCCAGGAGGACAAGGAGGCCATCAGCGAGGGGGAAGGTAGCTGCTGTCCCCAACCCTACCCAGGGCCCGCGTCCTTTGGGCTGGGCACCTCACTGCTCTCCTTCCCTCCAGTCCTGAGCATGTGTGCCAGGGCCAGTGGGGGGCCATCAAATGGCCCTTAACTGGAGCCAGGAGGGACGGGATTCACCTGGGGTTTGTTTTAGGGGAAGAGAGAAGAGTGGGTGCGGTGGGCAGTGGGAGGGGCAGCAGTGAGCACTCCTACCCCCAGATCTGGGGAAGAGTTCAAGGCTCTGCTCTGGGGAGCCCGGAAGGATGGGCAGGATTCTCGCAGGGCGGGAGCCCCCATGGGCACAGGCAGCATGCTAGCATGACAGAGCCTTTTAGAGCCTCCTGTTTCACCCCATAAACGCCCATTTACCAGTTAGAACACAGAGACACAGAGACAGAGGTAAAGTGCCTTAGCTAAGTTTATCCAACCAGCAAGTGGCAGAGCTGGGGCTGCATAATTGCAAAGAGAACAGGAACCAGAGTGGCTGTGGGGTGGCGGGGTGAGAGGTCTGCCTTGTTGACTCAGAGTTCTCCTTTGGATGTGAAGGAAGACTGGAAAGCTAGGGTGCTGCCCAATCATGGAGGGCCTTGATATAATGGAACTGGGTAGCTACTTAGGGCTCTTTTTTTTTTTTTTTTAAAGATTTATTTTATTTTTATACAAGAGCTGGGGTACAGGCCAGAGGCGTGGGAGGGTGAGACGATTCACCAGAGACAGAGCGGGAGCAGAACAGGCAGATAACCGAAATATACTGCTGAGGGGAGCAGCGGGCACGACAGGAGAGGTCTGCTGCACCATGTGGGAATCTCCCTGGCTGGCCGGGAATCAAACCCGTGCTGCAGAGGCTGCGGACAGCTTCACAGCACTGTGCTCAACTCACTGCGCCACTGGGGAGGCCTTACTGAGGGCTCTTGAGCAGGGGAGTTAGCACTGAGCTAAGGAAGGGGAAGGAAGGGCAGTCCTATGCGCCCAGAACCTGCCATGTGCTGGGCCCAGTGCTAGGCCTCTTGTATATGCATTTATTTTATTTAATCCTCTTCACAGCTGTATTAGGTAGATTCATTTGTCATGTCGGAGAAAACCGAGGACCAGAAACATTAAGTAACTTGGCCAAGGTCACACCACCAGTAGGTAGCAGAACTAGGATTGAAGCCAGGTCTGGTCCCAAAGACGGTTTTCTTGATACCATCAGCCCACCATGTACTAGAGATAGACAGAGCGGTAGACCTGGTCTGGAGTAACATCCTCTAACTTGAACCAGGAGTCCTGTTTGGGTTAAGGGGGTGAGTTTCACACTCCAAAGAGGTTCCTTTTTTTTTTTTTTTTTTTTTGTGGGATCCTTGCGGGTGGCTGGGGAACGAACCGGCGCTGCAGAGGCTGCGGGTAGCCTCGCAGCCCAGTGCTCAACCGCTGAGCCACCAGGGGAGGCCCCCCCCAAAGAGGTTCCTAAAGGATGAGGAAAGGCAGCCATGAAAAGATCTGGGGACGAGCACTCTTAGAAGAAGGAACAGCCAGTGCAAAGGCCCTGAGGCAGGAGGCAGCTTGAGTTTTTGAGCAATTGCAGGACGACCAGTGTGGTGAACTTCATAAGCAAGGAGGTGAGGAGGGGGGCAATGCTAGATCATCTAGGGCTTTGTAGGCTCTGGGAACTTTAGATTTTATTCAGGAGCGGGGCAAGCCCTCGAGGCTCTTAAATGGGGAAGTGGATGACTTGAATCCCTGTTGAGGATGGACTGGAGGCAGCACCAGGGTAGCATCAGAGGGCATATAAAGGGGGCATTACTGTTTTGTGGGTCTTGGGGGCAGCCGGACATTGGCCTGGAGGTGGCCAGGGGCAAAGTGTTGGATTGAGCTAGGGAGGTAAGAGCCCTGGGCACAGAAGCAGGAATCGGAGCCAGAGAATGATTCACATGGGGCTTGTGTTTGAGGTAAGAGAGGGGTGGGAGGGGCAGAGCAAAAGGAGCAGCAGTGGCCATGCTTCCACCCCCTACTTCCTCCTACTGGCCCCCATGCTGCCACCCCTGTCCCATCCTGCCCTGGGGACCCACTCACCCTCCCCGGGGCTGTCAGATCGCCCCCAGGTTCAGTGTGTCAGGACATACAAGGCCCTGCAGCCAGATGAGCTGACTTTGGAGAAGACGGACATCCTGGCAGTGAGGACCCGGACCAGTGACGGTGAGAGGAGCCTCTGGGGAGGGCCTCCCCGATGGGACTGAAGTGGGCAGGAGGGAGCTTGCTTCCTCAGACACAGCAGGAAAAGGCATGAAAGTATTGATCCAGTGCAGCATGCAGGAATCAAGTGAGACCAGAGGAGGAACTTCTTGCCAGTAAAGCTGTAGGAGTGAGAGTGATTGGTGGGGCAGAGTGGGAAATACCCTGGTCCGCAAAAGTCAGGAAAAGCAGGTCAGAAGTTCACCTGCAAGATTGCTAGAGGGAGGGTCCTTCCTGGAGCTGGGAGATTCTGAGATGACGTCACTTCCGCCCCAGGGCCGCAACAAGGCTTTCATCAGGCCTAGGTGTTTCCTCTCAGACCTGGCCCTGGGGTCCCTTTGATGCCACTGATGCTGCTCCTGGCCTGTGTGTCCCTAGGCTGGCTGGAGGGGGTCCGCCTGGCAGATGGTGAGAAGGGGTGGGTGCCCCAGGCCTACGTGGAAGAGATCAGCAGCCTCAGTGCCCGCCTCCGGAACCTCCGGGAGAACAAGCGGATCACGAGTGCCACCAGCAAACTGGGAGAGCCCCCGACTTGATGGGCAGCCGGGGTCTGGGACCCCAGCTCCATGCCCGACTCCTGGACAGGTCTGGAGGAGGCCTGCAGTGTGTCTGGGCCGCAGCTGCTGCAGCCAAGACTTCTGTTCTGTGGCCCTGGCATCAAGAGTTAAGGCTGGACGTGGCAGGGGGGTGCCTTGAAACGGTCTCCCCTGTCCTCACATCTCATGTCCACTCTTCTGGACTGAAGGTAGTGTCTTCTCTGGCATGGGGATCACAACAGGTGGCCTCAGTTTCTGGCAAGGACAGGTGTTCTCTCCCTTTCATGCTGGACCCTGTTGGATTCTCAGTCCTTCGAGCAGGGCCTGGCTGGGAAGGCACTGGTGTCGATGGGTGTTGGGACCTACCTTTACCCGGGGTCTTCTGGCCAAAGAGTACATGGGCCCTGGTTGCTGTGACTTGTCTGTAAATAAACTCCTGTAATGCCTTTGCTTGGAGGAAGTGGCCCTCTGGAGCTGCTCCATGCCAACCCCCACCCATTTCCCCTGCTGGAGATCAGGAGGGTCTCTGGGGATTTGCCCTCTGTGGCGCTTACTTCTCAAACAGAGGAAGGTGAGAGAGGGACTCTGTATCGGTTAGATTGATTTTGGCTGCAATTTACAAAATATCAGATTCGAATAGGCTTTAATATTAAAGAGAATTTATCACTCCTGTATTTGTTTCTTGTAGCTTCGTTTTTAAAAAAAATTTTTTTTAATTTTTTTGGTTTAAAGATTTATTTATTTATTTATGCATACAAGAGCTGGGGCACAGGCCAGAAATGCAGGGAGTGAGAGAATCCACCAGAGACAGAGTGGGGAACAGAACAGGCAGACTGACTGAAATACACTGCTGAGGGGAGCAGCGGGCAAGTCAGGAGAGGTCTGCCAGGCCATGTGGGTAGCTCCCTGGCTGGGGATCGAACTGGTGCTGCAGTGGCTGCAGATAGCTTCATAGTGCTGAGACTTAACCCCTTGTGCCACCAGGGAGGCCCTGTTTCTTGTAGCTTCTGTAACAAATTCCCACAAATGAAGTGACTTAAAACAACAGAAATTTATTGTCTCACAGTTCTAGAGGCCAGAAGTTGAAAGTCAATATCGCTGGGCCTAGACCCAGGTGTTGGCGGGGCTGAGCTCTGTCCTGTAGTGGAGACAGTCTCCAGGGGAGGGGTGCTCTGGGCCCCCCAGCGTTCCTTGGCTGGTGGCTACATCATTCCAGTCTCTGCCTCTGTGGTCCCACATTGCCTTCTCACATCTCTGCCTCCCTCTCTCAGGAATACCTGAGCTTACATTTCTAATCTCCCCAGCATATTATCCTTAAATTATATCATTTATTATGTATTATATCATTTATGATATGATTTATTATATCATATCAATTATATCATCTGCATCTCCACTTTTGTCATGTGCAATAATATTCACAGGTTCTAGCCATTTGGGGACCATTTGTCAACCCAACACAGTTCTCATCAATGACAGGGTGGGCTTCAGGTAAGGCTTGATTCAGTAGCTCAGTGATGTTACCGAGGACCCGGCTCTTTCCATTTCTCTGCACTGTTGTCCTTGGTATTGGCTTCACTCTAAGTCTTCCAGGGGCTTCTTCTTTCACATCTGACATGGAAGATGAGAATCATCTTTGAGAACATCCTGAGATGTTCTCTGATGGGACCAGCTGTGGTCACATGCCTACCTCCTGACTCATCATGGTGGCTGGGGATGATGATTACGACAGACCTAGTGTGGGTCATGTACTCTGCCTCTGGAGGCAGGCTGTTGTCTCCTCTGGAGCCGCATCAGGTCCCCAAGAGGAATTTGGTGGTAACTGCAAAGAAGGAGTCAGTGTGGGGGAAACCAATCTTCATTGAGAGCCAAGTCACTCAAGAGAGCGGAGGGGCCTGGGAGTAATGACTATGGGCATGAGCACACCTGAGGGTCAGGAGCATCCTTCAGCCCTCCAAAGGAGGTCATAGGCAAGGAAACATGAGTTGGGTGGTCTCAGCGGGCAAACAAGGGGTGGAGGGCAAAAAGCTCAGGCCCAAGAAGAATCCTTTGGGATATTGCAGGCAAGTGGAGTGTTGCAGGCAAGTTCAAAAATGCCTAAGGAGGTGACATATTTGAACTTGAACTCTGGTTCAAGCTTTTACATCCTTTTATATTTTTTCAAAATAAACCGTTTACTTTGGGATGATTTTAGATGTACAGAAAGGTTGCAAAGATTGTACAGAGATTCCATCTTCCCCTCCCCCCTTTCCGCAGGGTTGAACATTTGCAAACCTAGGAAACCAGCATTGGGTACATGACAATTAGCTCAGCTCCAGATGTAATTCGATTCTACCAGCTTTTCCACTAATGTCCTCGCTGTTCCAGGCTTCCCCATGGCAGTCACTGTCATGCTTCCGTCGCCACCTCTGGTCAGCAACAGTTTCTCAGTCATCCCTTACTTTCTTTTTTTTAAGATTTATTTATTTATACAAGAACTGGGGTACAGGCCAGAGGTGCAGGAGGGTGAGAGAATTCACCAGAGAGAGTGGGGAGCAGAACAGGCAGACAGACCGAAAACACTGCTGAGGGGAGCAACGGGGGCTGCAGACAGCTTCACAGCGCTGCGCTCAACCTGCTCTGCCACTGGGGAGGCCCCATCCATTACTTTCCATGACCTTGAGAATTGCGGGGATTTCTGGTCCATGTGTTCCTCCATTTGGCTTCCTCATGATTAGCGGGAGCGATGGGTCGCGGGGGAAGAAATGGCCTGCTTGTCCCCTGGCTCAGGAACAGTCTCCACGTGACTTACTAGCCTTGATTATGGGGGAAGCTGGTGTCTTCCAGCCTCTTGGTTGTGAAGTCACCCTCTCCCCTTGCTTTGTGCTTGGGAAGCAGGTAGAACCCACACTCAAGTGGGGGGAGGGTACACCCCATCTCCCAGGGGATGGATCTACACTGACTTTTTTTTTTTTTTTTTTTTTTATTTATTTATTTACACAAGCACTGGGTACAGTCAGAAGCGCGGGAGGGTGAGAGAATTCACCAGAGCCAGAGCGGGGAGCAGAGCAGGCAGAAGGACCGAAGTACACTGCTGAGGGGAGCAGCGGGCGGCAGGAGAGGTCTGCGCGCCATGTGGGACCCTCCTCCGGTGGCCGGGGAGCAGCCGGGGATTGAACCGGCACCGCAGAGGCCGCGGGCAGCTTCGCAGCCCAGCGCTCAACCGCTGCGCCACCGGGGAGGCCCTCTACACTGACTTTTCTGCAAGGAGGATTTGTGCCTTTCCTCTCAGGGATTTTATCCATCATTTATTAATATTTCTAGCAGCGTGGACCTCTGTGTTTATGAATTTCCTCTTTGGGGCCATCACTTGATGCTAAGCTGCTCATTTTGCTGTTCGCACTGTCCTTTCAGGTTAGCTCCTGTGCCTGCTGGGCCTGCCCCCCTTCTGGATTTTGACATTTCCTGACTTTCTGGCCCTGGGATGCTCCTGGCTCTCATCTGGGGTTGTCTAGCCTCAGTGCCGGAACTGGCCATTTCTTTAAGGAGTGGGGTGCATTTTACTGGGGAGCAGTGTCCAAGATCCGGGTGCTAGGGCTGCTCATTGACTACTGAGGTATTGTTGCTGGACCCTCCTGTTGGGCAGAGGTAGGAAACAAACAAACACTATGTGAGTTAGGCAACATACTTAATGTCTCTAAGTGCCAGGTAATGGGGATGGCAGTGCCAGCCTCACGGAGCCTCTGTGAATAAAGCATGAAGGGCTGACTGTGTCTGGACCCTAAGAAGTGGTAAAAAGGGTAAATGGGGTGGCTTGCATTTGTCAGGGGTGAAGCCAGAGCATGGGGTGAAGGCGAGGGGGTGAGTTCTCTGACCCTTAAGGATTTAAGGAATGCAGCAAGTTCAGGGCCAGGATTCCCACACGAATCAAGACCAAAGGCCCCTGTGGCTTTTCCAGAGCTGAATCTGCCTGCGGGAGCCACGGCTGGCACCGGGTTGGCGGAGCAGAGGAGACACGTCTTCTGCATTCAGCCTGCCCTGGCGCATCTGGATTCTGGCTGATACCTAAGTCTGGGCTGGAGCCCCAGAGGCTGGGACTGGGGTGGCTGGCTTTGGGGCCTTGCTGCCAGGCAGGGGTGCAACGGGCCCAGTTCCCTCAGCCCCCATCTGCCCAGAGGGTAGATCCAGGCCAGCATCTTGGGGAAGCCCCTCTCTCTTGGGGAGCCCCTCCCTCTGCCCAGCAGGCCCTGCCCCAGTGTCTGGCTTTGGCCAAGGATCCAGCGCTCTGCCCCTGCTTGCTGCAGAAGGGGATGAAGGTGGGGGTGGTATTGGGCAGGACAGGGCCCGTCTGGGGCAGGGGTTTTGGCCCCCAAGACTGTCTGCTCAGCCAGTCTCCATGCCAGGCGCCCGCGGGAGCTCATCTAATGGCTTCCGGGAGGCCCCTCCCTGCCTAGTTACAAGCCCCTTCTCTGACCAAGGCGTGCTGTCCCCCACCCTTTTAGTCCCCAAACATACCTATTGTTTTGAAGATTTTATCCTGAAATGAAACTGTTGAGAAAGGGGCTTGTTTAATTGTTCACCTTCAGGACACGCTGAGGTTTCAACCAGGAGCCAAAGCTTCGGCCCCACAGGACTCTTGTCCAAGCTGCCCCCCCAAATCAGTCATTCACTTACTTGCTTTTTTGCCCACCCCTCCCTCCCTCCTTCTCCCTCTCCTGCTCCCTCTTTTCTCCTTCCCTCTCTCCCTCTCTTTGCTTCTTCCTGAGCCCCTTCATCCTCTCTGTTTGTGTCTCTGTGGACCGGGACATAGCGGCACCTTCTCACCCTCACAGGCGAGTCATTCAAGTGACCACATGAGATGCTGGGGGGCCCCCAGACAGCATTGAGAGCCGGCCAGGATCGGGGAGTGGCAGGAGCTCCCCTGCGCTCTTGGCAGGGTGTGAGCTGACACAATTCCTTTGGGAAACAATTTGGTTGCATCTGCCAAAGCTGAGTTCATGCCCACCCCTCACTCAGCAATTCTGCTTCTCTCTTTGGGCAGCTTCCCACAGATTTGCGTACACAGCCCCCCCCCCGCCCCCCGAGAACACGGAGCAGGATGTGCTTAGTGCTGGTCCTTCATTTTTTTTTTTTTAAGATTTATTTATTTATTTATACAAGCACTGAGTACAGTCAGAAGCGCGGGAGGGTGAGAGAATTCACCAGAGCCAGAGCGGGGAGCAGAGCAGGCAGAAGGACCGAAGTACACTGCTGAGGGGAGCAGCGGGCGGCAGGAGAGGTCTGCGGCGCCATGTGGGTAGTTCTCTGGCCGAGGATCGAACTCAGTCACAGCAGTGATATCGCTAAGACTTAAACCCTAGGTCACTGGGGAGACCCCTGCCTTGTCATTTTGATGCTGATTTCTTCTGCTACACAGAAGCATTTTAGTCTGACATGGTCCCATTTGCTTATGTTCTCTCATTTCTCTTGCTGTTGAAGGCAAATCCATTGCCCCCTGAAGTGGGCACTGTTGGTCCCATTTTACAGATAGAAAACCGAGGCTCAGGGGCCTCCCCGGTGGCGCAGCGGTTGAGCGCTGGGTTGCGAAGCTGCCCGCGGCCTCTGCAGCGCTGGTTCGATCCCCGGCTGCTCCCCGGCCACCGGAGGAGGGTCCCGCATGGCGCGCAGACCTCTCCTGCCACCCTCTG